TTGTTTATTTAAATCTCTAATAAATGATCCAAATGGTATAATATCATTAATACATTGTGTTCTTAATGCTTGATTTAAAATTTTATAAATACAAGTTTCTCTTGTATACCAATGAATTGCTTTTTTCGATTTATATTCTTTATCAAATTCTATCATTATTTGTTTATCAGTTTTATCATCTGGTTGAAAATATTCTAAAAGACTATTTTTATAAAATGTTAATGCTTGGTTTTTATTGAAAATTTGTTCAAGCAATATTTGATAAAGAATAAATTCTCCATTTAATGATTTATGCATACTTTTATTATCTTTTGATGAATAAACATGTGTACTTATTCTATCTACATTTTCATTTGTTCGTTGTCTATTTTCATGCATTATTTAATTATTAGTTTATTTTAATTAACTAAAATTTAAATTAAAAAAAAATTTGTTAGAAAAATTTTTGAATAGACAGATTAAACTAAAAATTTAAATAAAACTTTAAAGTAGAAAATTATCAAAATGAAATTTAGTTTCATTAATATAACTAATTGACATTTTTCTCGAATATATTTTATTGTTTATATTATAAATAAGTTTTTATTCAGTTTATCGAGAACTTGTTTAATCAATCGTAAAAATCTTTGTTTCAACTTAAATTGAATTCGTTGTTTTAGGCATAAATTCATAAATGATTAATATTCGATTATCAATTCTAATATTCTTATTTTATAGAACGTTAGTCTTACTTACAAATATCGATGAAAACAATGAATTTTACAAAGATCGGATATTAAAAAAACAACTTTGCTCTTTTGTTTCGCGTTCCTATTATATAAAGATGATATGTCAAAGATAGATATTAGATTATTTTCTCGATATTAAACACGTTTTAATATGTTTTTTATGTTAGTGTGGAAAGGTAGAAAAAGACGTAAATAGAAATAATATTTGTTTTCTTAATGAGATTTATCAACCTGAATGAAGAGACCGTGTTAAATGCGTTTTTTGGTACTGCATGTATGAATAAAACGTAAAGCAGTGAGATTGTACTGTCAGATATAAAATAGATACAGACTTAAATAGATGTTGACATTATCTACTCTAGACGAAAACAAAATAATTCGAATTCGAACTGATTACTTTTGCTATTTGCTCGTTATTTTTTATTTTCGCATTTCGTTTTTCTTAACTTAACATTACTATATCATTTCACACTTTTTATGTTGATCCTATGATAACTATAATAAATCAATGAATGATATACTCAACATTGTTGACATCTTGAATAGAAATTCTTATCTACGCAAAAATCAAATATTCCAATATTTAAAACATTAGAAAATGTATTCCAGTAATTCAAGACTTTTTTTCGTCGCTCAGAAACTCTGAGAAATAAGTCTGATGTTGGTTGTCCTCGACTGCTTGAGAAGGGAAAAGAGAGCCGGAAAACTTCAACTTAAAACTTACACTTATTAGTTTCTTCGAAAATATACGTCGGTTCCACAAAATGATAAGTCAATTGTGTTTAAATATCTTTTAATTGTTCTTGTCCTTTTTTTAAAAATAATTTTATGTGTTCAAGTTTTCTCTATCTCATAAATTGAATATTTTAGTTTTGTTTCTTTGTTGGTAAAAGATAGAAATATTTTTATTTAATTAATATTCATCTTATATATTTTCCATATTTATTTGTGACTTTCAGAAAAAAAAGACTAATAATTATTTCGAAATATATTTTTTCATTAACTAGTTATTTAATTTATCGAATAAATAAATAACATAATTCTTTGAATAAATCGAAAAATATTTCTATTTTTGTTAAAATATTTTTGAGTCTAACATAAAGAAAAATAGTTACCTTAAAACATCAAATAAGATAGATGTTTCAATGTCATAGATTTTGTCATTAGTTAATTTAAATGACGTTTAGCCTTTTATTTTTGATATAAAACA